TTATCCGTACAATAGTAGAGAAAAGTTACCAGCTCACACAATAAGCTGGTGGCTTTTCTCTACTATTGTACGGATAAAACATGATGTTGTTCGGGCCAATCCAAGGTTATCTAGGATCCTCTCTTATATAACCCGAACAATAGTATGTTTTATCCTTGCAATACAAAGAAATATTAATGGGGCCTCCGGTCAGGTTGACCAGCCCCATATATATATATCAGGTTACAGTCAGAGTATGTTCGAATATGAGCGAGTCATGTTTTTAACAAGAAAAAAAAGCGAAATTATTATAATAAAAAAAAATTATTAAAACATAACCTGATTGTCATCTGTCGATGCACCTCATAAGTTCTAGTTGAAAATATCCTTGTTGTTTTTCTTTCTATTTCTTCCACAAAAAACAGATTCGGCAAGATGATGATCAAGAGACTTGATTTAAACAGCTACTAATCTTGTTTTAGGCATGAGTTAAAAAAATGATTTATACCCACAACCGCATCCAAAAAGGAGTTTTTCAAATTCACCTCTAATTTACAGTGAAATTAACAAAAGTTCTATTGACGAAAATTTTATAGGTGAAATTACAAAATTTCTAGATAATTAGTTATTCCAATAGTCTATAAGTTCTATCCGAAAATTTTTATGTCACAACAAAATGGTACTTCAATAAAAAGTTTCTTTTAGTCTCAGCTGAAATGTCGGTATTCTGGCTCCTGTGTTATTAATATTTACACACGCCGTCAATGTGCATATTGTCGATTAAAAAGATGTTTCGATGTTAAAATGTGTAAAGAATCAATTCTTACTGAAGAAGAAAAAAGATCAAGATATTTTCTAAAATTATTGAAAGAACAAAAGAAATTAAATAATTTACCAAATAATCAACAATTTCTTGTTACTCTTCCAAAAGTTCTACGAAAGAAAAAACGTTTAATGATAAAATCAAGAAGTCAAGAAGTTGTTACATATCCAGTAAATACAAATAATACGGTAATAATCATAATAATAGTTTTTATCTTTCCCTTCTAGATTTATAAAATTCATTCTTTTGGTTCTAATCATATTCTATATGATGATGATCGAACACTAATAAATAATATAAATAATGCTTATCAATCAATAGTGGATAAAAACGATTATTCTTATATTAATAAATATACATCAACAACAACTTTTTCACAATTTGTCAATGATGAAAGTGTTATGCACGAATCATTAATACACTTTTTTAAATCTATACCTGAATTTAAACAATTAGATATAAATGATCAAATTCTGTTAATCAAATCTAATTTTATTAATATTATACATTTACATCGTCTGGTAGTATATAATTTTCAAGAGTGCCCAAACTTAAATAAACGTGCTTCTAAATGGATCGGTAAAGATTTTCAAAATCAAATGTTTCGAACACGTCGATATTCCCAGCGTTTTATAAATTATCCATTACTCTTAAAACTTACATTAGTTGTTTTTATCTTCAGTGTGAATTTATCAGCATCGACTGATATTAATCCATTCTTCGAATATAAAAATAAGAAAATTCTGCTTGAATTTCAAAATTTTTATACAAATATTCTTTGGCGTTATTTAAATTATTTATTTGATGAAAAAGAAGCAATAAAATCAATGGAAATAATAGTTATGCAAATTTTAGGTTTTCAATTATTAATGGTTACAATGGAGAATTTTGTACGACAAAGTCCAGATTGTCATCGATTTCATTCATTAATGCAATCTATACTTGGACTTACTTAAATAACACATCGATATCAATACTTATTCATTGGATGAATATTGTTTTGTTCGTTATAAGAAAATTCCTTTATTAAAGAAGAATAATATCCAGAAGTTAACATGAACACACACATTTGTCTTTATGATAAGTTGTATAATTTTTATCAAGATATATATTGTTTGTTTTTCTTTTAATTATTGATATTATTAAAGAATTTCAATAGATTATTCTCCGTTCATTTGTTTTTAAATAATAATTGAAAATATTTTGAATTGTAACATGCATAAAAACATACGAGATCGCTCGGGTAAAACATATCAGATAGAGATAGATTTCTCAAGATGATTACAGACGTTTTTTAATCTGCAATATGAGTTTTCATTCATCTTCATTAAGTCTCGGAAAAGG